CACATTGGTTAGAAGGTTGGGTAGACCTTAGAGCCGGTCTGAACGACATGGAGAAGAGAAAATTCTTGACCCTACCGAGATTCGAATTGCGACCCCTCCGTCGTCCGTCCGTAGCCAGTCGCTAAAACCGAGGAAGACGAAATCGGCGGAATAATAGCACACAAGGGAAGGATGAGAAATTGATACAGCCGGAAAGCCGAAAAGGAAAAGAACACGTATGAAAACCAAGCGCAAATGGAAGTATTACTAAAATAGATCTTAAAGAAACAGAATGTGAAGAATTGGAATGGATTAAACTGGGTTTGAACAGGAGCCAGTGATTGACCCTAGTGAATATGGTAATGAATCTTCGGGTTCCATAAAATTTGTGGAATTCATTACTAACTGATTGACTATTAGATTTCCCAGGACAGCTCTTCTCCTCGAGGTTAATTTGTCAGCCATTTATGACTGGAAACGTGTCACATTCATTAATTCTGAAGGATAGGTACATTTAAACCGTCCTACGAATGTGTTGTTAATAGTTAGCATAACAATTATTTGAATTTGTTAGTTCTATTGACCATAAGAATAACTGCCTGGAAGCAGACTAGACTTTATGAAGAACAATTATTACAAGGGGGCACGCGGTGGCCAAGTTGGTTGAGGCACTATGCTACAAGCCTGAAGGTCGTGGTTTTGATTCCCAATGAGGTCATTGGATTTTTCAGTTGATCTAATCCTTCCAGCCACACTATGACCCTGGGGTTAACTCAGCCTCTAACAGAAATGAGTACCAGGAATCTTCCTGGAGGTAAAGGGCGGCCGGCGCGTAAGGCCAACAACCTCACCGCCGTCTGCGAGCCGATTATCTGGAAAATGTAGGACCTTCGATGTCTCACAACCCTATGGGCCTTCACGGCCTGTTACAATGATAGTTTTACTTTTATTTTTGTCTTATAATTATTACAGTACCAGAACGTACGCATTAGCTGAAAATGTCGCGCGGTTTTATCACAGTTTTATAAATGGACCGTCACATGAAGCGAATCGGATAGCTTTAGATCGAATATTCAGATTGTATGTTACACATGTTAATACAGGATGGGGCCTAGAAACTTCCTTTATTTGAAGGCGAATAAAAGAAAAATTATTGCTGATAGACAAAATTTATGTTTAGCTAATGAAGGAACATACTTTAAAGTTTTAAATCGTGTAGTTTTAAACAAAATATCTTGAAGGTGGTGGCCACTGTTCTCTATACACTGATGCAAACGTTTTCTGAAGTTCCCCTCTGCATGTTCCAACATGTGCAGCGGAATTTTGGCTACTTCCTGCCGAATAATATTCTTCAGCTTAAGCAGGTTTGTGGGGCGATGTTTAAAAAACTCTGCCTTGAAGTATCCCCATAAAAAAATCACAGGGCGTTAGATCAGGTGAGTGCGCTGCCCACGGGATATCACCTCGAAGCGAGATGAGACGTTCGGGGAAATTTGCCCTCAAAACTCTCATCGAAGCTCGGGCTGTGTGGGCCGTGGCACCATCCTGTTGGAACCAGACATTTCCTAGATGCATTTCTTCAAGAGCTGGTTCGAAAGAGTTTTTAGTCATGTCCACATACCGATGTGAATTGACAGTAACTGCATGATTGTCATCTTCAAAAAAAAAAAATAAGGGCCAATAACGCCAATTCTCGACAACGCAAACCATACTGTCACATTATCACTGTGAAGTGACCACTCATGGAGCTCTCTGGGATTGTTACCACTCCAATAGCGCTTATTATGCTTGTTGACATATCCGGATAGGTGAAAATGTGCCTCATCACTAAAGAAAACAAATGAGTCAGGGGTAAAGCTTCCAATAACGTCTCGCACGCCGTTAGTCGTTTCTGAAAATCACGTGTAGACAATTCTTGCATAACAACCATCCTATAGGGATGGAAATGAAGATGTTCGTGAAGAATTCGGCGCATTGAACGATTGGATATGTCTAGGGCGACTGCATGTTTGCGAGCGGAGTGTCTTGGAGATCTCAAAAACGACTGTCGAACTGCCTCCATATTTTCTGGCGTAGTAACTGTCCGTTGTCGTCCTGATGATTTTTTCACCACACTCCCGGTTGTCCTAAAGTTCTCTACCCACAAAACAATCGATTTCCGTTTGGGAACCGGATCTTTGGGCTTAATTCTGAAGTGAGTACGGAACGCACACTGCACCGCCATGTAGGAATGGTTGTTCGAAAAATAGGCTTCGACAGCAAACGCACGCTGCTCACTCGTCCACCTCATGTTTCCTACTGAGGGGTATTAGACAGAAACTTCCGCGACTGCTGCGTTCGCCGACCCAATCCCCACTTTTCTGCGACCTCCCCTCCCTTCACAATACGTCTTCACAAAAAGGAAGTTTCTGCGCTCCACCTTGTATGTGCCATTTAGATTCGAAACGCACGAGCTTCTTTACATCCGCACCGTGTCTTCCCGGTTCCATTGTTGAGCTGCCAACAGCAAACTTAATTTATGAGGACTAACCTTGTGGCTGTAACTGATCAAACAACCGTCACTTTCTCCTATGCCGGAACTAGATAGATAAAACACTAGTACGTTCAGAACCTGTTCGGTTCATCCATGCTTTCATTCATTCATCAGTGGCTCTACAGCCCTTTGTTGGGCCCTGGCCTCTTCTTCAGTTTCGTTAGCTTTTTTACACAGACGGTAGGCCTCCTTGGACGAGTGGTCAGTCCTTCGCACGGCCGTTACCTATACACAGGACACAGAATAAACGCATGCACAGACATCCATTCTTTGAGTGAGTTTCGAGCCCACGATTCCAGTGCTCGAGCGAGCGAAGACATTTCATTCCTCAGACAGCGCGGCCACTGTGATCGGCTCTCAACCATGCTTACCTTTACTAATTTGGGGAGAAAAAATTTGTAGATTACATATGGGTTTACAGCCAACGATATTTATACTATAATTAACAACTCATGTCTAGAACGCCTCAGTGGTCTAGTAGTCAGAGTTTCTGGCTACACATCCTGAGGTCCCGGGTTCCTTTCCCTGCGATACAAGATTTTCTGAGAAGTAGTGGGTCTGGAACTAGGTCCACTCAGCCTCGTGAGGATAATTGAGGAGCTATTTCAAGGAAATAGCGAAATTAACGGCTGTGGGGATTCGTTGCATTGACCACGCGGCACCCTCTATCTGCAAAATTTGCCACTAACTTCGCCGATAAGCGTCGGTCGCTCGGTCGGTATAGTTCGCTTGCGGACTCAATCCACGGAGTTTGTTTCTTTGTTTGTTTATGTCTGTAATAAGGCACTTGCACGGAAGAACAGGCCTGAGGAGGTTAGGACTTAATACAGTTCCTCTTCGTAACAAAGTAAGTCAGAGATGAATGAGCTGTGCCCCTTTATCACTGTTATTGAAAGCAGGCCTAGTGACTGACTGAATTAGAAGTGAACAGAACAGAAGAGCGGTGGGTCGGCATCCGGTCCCTCTCGCACCTGACCAGTAATGATGTATTGTGTGGTCCCTGCTTTCATCCCGTCAACAGTACAGCATCATGAATAAACTGCATTAGTGCCCAGCTGACCCAGAGCTCATGCTCGTCACGAGGTCTCAGCACGCGAACTGCGATGTGATGGTAACCGAATCTCGCAAGGGACTTGTAATGCCACGTAAAGGCTTTTATGTATAGGTTTTTGGCACATTTTACAAACGGGACCGTGAGTTAATTCCACTTTGTAACACTCAAGTCATCCGTTGAAGTGACAGTGATATGTCAGTACCTATTTAATAGATCTGAAAATTTTCATATTGATTCGCAATCGTTCCCCAGACCTCTTTAGTGAAGACCCGGGAATACGGACGTTCACATGTAATTGCCCGGTGACGGGCTTCCAATATCTTGTGTGTCTACTAATCCTGCGATATTCAATCTTTTTCATCTCGCAGCCCATCTCTCATTCTGTAAAAGAATTGCTCTACCATCATAGCTGAAGCAAAACTCCTCTTTTTAAAATGACATAAAATGTTGTAATTACGTAGTTCAGACTGCCTCTGTTGTCTAGTGGTCAGAGCTCATGGCTACAGATCTAGAGGTCCCGGGTTCTATTCCCAGCGCTACCAGAGAAGTAGTGGGTCTGGGACGGGGTCCGCTCAGCCTCGTGAGGATAATTGAGGAGTTACTTGGATGGAAAAGTAGCGGCTCCGGTCTAGAAAACCAAAATTAACGGTCGTGGGGATCCGTTGCTCTGCCCACACGACACCCTCTATCCGCTAAATTTGGCACTAACTTCACCGACAGGCGGCGGTCCCTCTGTCGGTATAGTTCTCTTGCGGACTGAAACCAGGGAGTTAGTTACTATTATATTAGTCACAGATAAAGATGGAGAGATTTCTCTCTCACATAAACAAATGTTTTTACTGTTTCACTCGCAATGTGGACAAAAAAGTGTCCTTTGTAACCACACAAACAGGATGCAACACTACAAGACTACATTAGTCATTAATGGAAGCTTTTATTATAAATACTTCACGTTCTAAGCAATGACTCTCAAATATCACCACAGGGGGTCGTTCAGCGGGTTTAGAAACAATGTTCTAATACAGCCCACCCGACAGCTCTACCATGGATGTTACAGGCAGGCTCCGGCCCTAGTAACGAAGTTTCAACTGATTCAGTAAACCGTATTGGCACTCTTAGTCCAACGGACTGCTGAATGCATTTAGACCGTTTCCATTCCAAATACTGTGATACAATGCAACAGCAAGCAGACGTTCATTAATCAGTGCTCGTTGGTTATTACATGCAGAGAGATAGGACAGTGCTCCTGTTGTTTTTCCCACTTCGTGTTAATACTGGGTACATGCCAGCTCCTTTGTTATTGTGCACTCTTGGTATCTCCAGTGTTTCTTGAGTTATTTTGAACAAACACCAAGAAAGTATGTTTCAGTCCGTCATCAGACCGACTCAAAATATTATTTGTTATTAAAATTATTACCGATTTTCCTCAGTCGCTCCAATTTAATACGAATCGTGTTCAAGCCTCCTTACTCTTCTTCTGTTCGTAGATCATGAAATTATTTCCTTCCGCTGGTCTCATTTCTTTTGTTTCTGTTAAATTTCGTTCTGAAAATTGCACAATTTTAAAATAAATTTCAATTTCACGGCTGTTCAGGAATATCTATGGAAAATTGTTACCTATTCAGAATGTTTGAATGTTCATGAGGGCTGAAGAGAATATTTGGACTTATGAGGGATGAAACAACAGGAGGCTGGAGAAAAATACAAAATTATGAGCTTTATAGCTAGTACTCACCACCAAAAGTTGTTAGAATGAGCAAGTGAAGGAGGATGAGATGGGTAGGGCATGTTGCATGTACGGGAGAGAAGTGGAGTACAGTCAGAGTTTAAGAAGGGTCTTCGGAGGAAAGAGCCTGTACGAAAACATAGACAGGGAGAGGATGTTGGTGTGATAGGATGGAGATGTAGAAGGAATTTATCTAGTTCAGGATAGGGAGCAGTGGTGGGGTCTTTTTCATACGGTAATGAACCTACGATTTCCATAAAATGTTAGGAATATTCTGAGTGGCTGAACACCTAAGGACTTAGCTCACTGGAGATAGTTCCTGATGCCTGGAACCTGTTACCGCCAAAGAGAACGCTGTATGTCATGATTTCCAGAAGTCTGATATAAGCGAGCGGTCGAAATCTTGCACTAGAACGAACTGTGACACCTTTGTCATGTAGTTTCTTACATAGCCGGTAGATGGAGGGATAAGTCTTTATGGTCAGGGTTGATACGGATGAAGAGGGACGCGATTTGAAGAGCTTATTAATTGGGAACTGTGAAGTGTGCTGACCTAATCAAATTAATGAAGCAGCAGCACAACCGCAGAGGGGTAAACCAAACTATCCACTCGGTCCTATGAGTCCCCCCCTTGTTCCTGGGGGATATAAATACGGGAACCTAGCCCTCCAGGTTGGAGGAGTCTCGAATCTGAGACAGCAAAATATGGTGATGAGTCCCGAGGGGCTCGGACCCGAGAATAATTGCGCTAGAGAGGACCAGAGAGGATGTTACATATGGAATTTAAACGCAAGTGTTCAGTTGAAAGAGAAATACTGGTCGTGAGTCTCATGGGGCTTGGCGCCAAGACGAACTGATTGGCGGTAAACCGCCAGTCTTAAAGTAACTCTGACTCTGACTCAAGTGCTTAGGCGACACCAGTACCGACCCAGCATCTGTAACTGCTGAATGCACTGTGACAAAGGGGCTCTGTTTAGCCTGAGTCCACATTCATACATATAGGAGACGTTGAAAGCTTATAACTTTCGACATGAACAAAATGTTCACTCCTATCTTCGTTTCAGTGCCCACGCTCGTGGCGTCTACATTGATTTCCACACATAACATCGCGGACTAATGTTCCAGAGCAACCGCAGGGCCTACAGTGGCGCATACCGGGTAATTTGGCTCAAGCCGTAAGGCTTCTGGCTTGCATTCGGAGGGTGCGCGTACTCAGTCGGGACACTGATTATTCTGATGTGTTCTCGGTGTTTCCTTAGTCCCTCCATGAAAATCCGGAACAAAATTAAATTATGCCACGAACGATTAGCTANAACAGGATTATTACTGTAGTAACAACGGTTACTACCGCTAGCGTTGCTAGCAACACAGCGCCAGGCAACAAGGCCGTTTTCTGTATTGTCCGATCGAGGCTACATGAGGCGCAGCAAAGGCTATTCACAGCCAGTTATAAAGTAACAGTCGGGAGTTGTACTGTGACAGTCAGCCAGTTGTATTGTGGCATTTGGAGTGTCCTAATTGTGATACTGCAGATAGCAGTAATCGTAAATCTGTAATTTGGGTGATTGTATGAGCGAATGTGAAATAAAATTCGCTATATCAAATACGGCGTGAAGTTATTTGTCGCGATATACGCCCAATACGCGACAATATTAATAAACTAATAGATTTTCTCAGGAGACTGAGACATCTAGGATGGGAAATGCTAGGAGCATGAACATAAGAGAAATTATGAGAGCTGGGGATAAATCGTGTAAAAATGAAACAATTATGTTGAAATGATAACGCCCAACAAATGACAGATTAAAGGTTACCGGAAATTGAATATGGTGTCAGTGTTTGTGATCCGGAAGTATATATATCCATTACGATTCTCCTCACTGCGCAGTTTAAGTCCAAATATTTCCCTCGACAATCTGCCGCCACGTACCTCCCTTCACGAAGTTGCAAGTTAACTCCAGCTCTTGCAGTAGAGTCCGCCGAACTGCTCGCGACTATCGCAGTCTTCGCTGTGCGTGCCTACTCATGAACTACTTAATTAGTCGTCCGTAAGAAGATAAGGAATCAGTGATTCACCACCTGATATCGAATTTCGATCCGACCCACGGGCTCACGGGTAGAAGCTTCATTTACGAAATAGTGCCCAAATCCAAACTACACTTACCACGGAAAGTTCTAAGACTGAAAGTACATCGCTTCATAGAACCACAGTTTACGTTTGTGCCAAAGTTTGCATGGTAAAAAATGGAAGTACATGCGTCCTTAGGAATCACAAAGATTATAAAAGATAAAACAATTCCATCCAGTGTGACTGTTGAAGTTCTATTACTTCAATTCTTAACGCCCTTACATGTTTCGGTCCTTATAGACCATTATCAGAGGGACATCGATACTGTTTGCAAACCACTAATAAGAACTTCTACAGCCACACTGGACGGAATCGTTTTATCTTTTATAATATTGTTAATGTGACGGACGAGAATGAAATAAATTAAATTAATCACAAAGATGTTAATTAACACTTTGCGACCGCGCACCCTTTAAAATGTTTTTCGCTTTTAAACATGGCGGACCGTATTATGCCGTGGTGACAGGGGGCGTGGAGGTATCCCTTCTTGCCACCACATCTTACGCTGCAAAAAGGTTAACACAAAAATCCTCGATTACCCTCCGCTAGGATTCTCCTGGTTCTGGACTTCCTTCGTCACATACGGCTGCCACCATCTTATTATATCTTAAAAAGGGGTGGTGAAAGTACTAAGGGCCGGTAGCACGGTGGTCGAGCGTTCTCTTTTGGCTGGCCCTTTCTTCACTGTCACCTCTTATTATTGGCGTAGAGCTGGCGTGTCAGGTCAGACCCACCTCTACCCATCGACTGTCACACCATATATTACACTTCTACGACAGGGGTGGATTTGATATCTCACCACTGTCCCCAATTATTATGTCTTAGTGACGGGGTTGGTTACAACACACTACTAATTCATTACGACTGCCATTCCTCTTTGGCTAGTCCCTTCGCAACGTCAGTCAACCCTTTGTTGACTCGGCTCACCGCCGTTGCCATACGTAATACTTCGATGTAAGGGGTGAGTAAAACACAGTTACTCTCTCTCTCTATGTACGTCAGCCACTTTGCGTTGGCCGATCCCCACCTCTGCCATTACTTTGTTATGCTTGAAGGGGCTAATGAATTATCTAAAGTGTCTCTTCCTTTGTTCCCTTTCGGGACGCTATCTCTCTGTCTCCTATTGGCCTCTCACCCTTAACCTGGATTCTCATAACCCTTACCGCTTGTTGCATTCGGCTGCCGTTGCCTGGGGTCAATTCTGCCTTCGCTTGGGTCAGGATCACTTTGGATCGGTCGTGGACGGGTTGGTTCGGGGAAGTATATCGAAACTCCCTGTGTACATCCTACCCTAAGTACACTGATCTATTTACACTGTTATTTACAATAAAAGAATGCCGATTTCTGTCGGTTTACACTTGGTCTCGAGGCGTGATAGTTCTGACTCCGCTCGGGTCTCTCGCCTGGAGCAGCAGGCTTGAGACTGTCACTTTCTACAATACTATTACTCGACACGCCATCTCTGTCCTACCCTAGGTCCTTGATCTATTTACACTTCGATTTGTATTCTATTTACAATATTAACAATACCGACTCTCAGTCGGGACTTACATAGTGCCTTTTACCGCACCACGCTATGCTTCATCATGATCTCCCCTTCGGGGGTGTAGGACTTGAGCGTCTCTCTCACACTGTTTCGACTAATGAGGATATGCAAGTATTCGTCGTTCGATATGATCCTCCTTTCTCTGTTCCCTACTACTCATTACACACTACTACACTATCCTATCGTAAAGTTTCACCCTTAAAATAATCTACCCGTGAAGTTATACATACCGAAAGCCTACATATATTTATCACAAAAATAAAAAATCACAACTATACACAAATGTGCGTGCTCTGCACACTACCAGTAATCATAACACTCGATCTAACGTCTACCATCTTTACTACACTAGCACCTCAGTCATCACTCGTTACATTATTTTTCGAATTCTACCCTAAGGACTCGCTGGGCACACTGGATATTGCTTTCACATTTGACAAACAGCACTTTACCAACAACAATAAAGTTTAACGGCATGGCTTATATGAGTAAACGTGACTTACTTGAGATAAGAGACGCAGGCTAAATTCCACCACTTGTAAGAACCATCTCGAATAGAGCCTCCGACTGACAACTTAATATTACGTTTTAGATCAGATCCCCCATTGAGTTTTCTTTCCATTTTTATACACTAATTTTACTGACACTGCAGTTGGCGAAAGAGGGAGGTTAACTACTCCCTTTGTTCTAAAATTCGGGGTGGAGGGTTTCCATTGGCTGCCCCTACGGTGGTGGGCAGGCCCGTGGTACATCGTTGCTGCGTATTTGATAATATTATTATACTCCAGTGGCCCAGTTAGCGGAGCTTTCTACTTGTGTGATTACGCATAAATGCTGATCATCAACATTCTTAACCTAGATCCCTAGTCCATGTGGTGTTATCTTTGCTCGATTGCTGTAAAACGATTTTCGCAAATCTCGAAACATTTAGGCAATATCTTGATTTTCAGTCTCGAAATTGGGGCACAACAGACCGTTCGCGTGTTAACAGGTTTTTAGAACACGATAAGTAGCAACATTAATTACAATATCACTTCACCCATAGCCTTTGGTTTCGATTTGAGTGAAGCGCTATTAAACTTGGTCCCCCACCCTTTCAAAAAAAAAATAAATAAATAAATAACGACTGAATAAGAACTTCTGCATCTCTGGGACACAAGAGATTAGGTTGCAAATTATTTATCAGGAGAAAGTTTCTTACCAGTGCCCGTAAAGTCATAACCTTTCTTTCACATGAAAAACCTCTTTAACCAAAGGCGCTGAACATTGTGAACCGTAACATACATGGAATACTTGTATTTAGGAAAGATGAAGGTGGGGAACCTTGAAAGAAAATTCTGTTTCCATCAGAGATACATATATTAAACCCCATAATTTCCTCATAAATTACACTTGAAAGCCATACAGATCACAGTTTTCGGTTACATTTAAGTATTGTACATCATGTATTGTAAGCAACAATACTCATATTCCCATTTATTATTACTTTCATTAGAATAATGGAATTCGAGGATGTGAAGTACACTCTTGTCAACAAGATTAAGACTGCATTTAATGATATAAGAAAAGGTACCGGGTTCGAGACCGCGGTGTATTTTGTCAATAGAAATTGAAACGTGAATAAATAAATACGATTTTTCTGCAGCTGTAAACTAAGTCGTAGAATATGAGAAGGCTCGCAAGAAGCTGCAGCATAGATTTTCTGGTGCTCTAAAGGTAAGGCGCCGATTTTGTAAAGAAAAGTTACGTGGTTCGAGACCACAAGGATTTTTGTAATGTGATTGTTCTGGAATTATATAGCGAGATGTAAAATATGAGGAAGATTAAAGGTCGAAAATTTCCGTGGCATTTATGTCTTATCTGTAAAGCGCCGACGTAGGGAGGATAAGCTCCGAGGTTCGGGACCAAAGGCAGTCTTTTTAAAACAAAATGGATTAATAAGATATTTTCTGGAATTACGGTTCGAGGTGTAACATAAGAGGAAGATTGAAGAAATCAACATTATGTGGTGTTGGTGGTCTATGGGTAAGACACTGGCCTAGCGTGGAGAAGTTCCGAGGTTGGGAACCAACATAAATTTTATAAAATACAAATGGAGTTAACAAGATTTGTCTGTAATTATAACAGAAATATAATATAAGAGGAAAATTAAATATAAGAAATCTTCGAGGTATTGGTAGTCTAAGGGTAAGACACCGGCGTATTGAAGAGGATTTCGAAGGTTCGAGACCAAGGATAGTTTTGTTATATAGAAAGTGAGTTTAAAATGATTTTTCTGGAATTATAACCGAAGTTGTAGCTTAAGACCCCTAGACCACCAGTACCATAGAAACTTATTTTTTGTAATCTTCCTCTTAAGAAACATTTCAGTTATAATTACAGAAAGATCATATTAAACTCACTCTTTATATAACAAAACTATCCTCGGTCTCGATCCTTCGAAATCCTCTTCACTATGCCGGTGTCTTACCCTTAGACCACCAATACCTCGAAGATTTCTTATATTTAATCTCCCTCTTATATTACATCTTTTGTTAAAATTACAGACAAATCTTATTAATTGATCACAGACATACACTAAACTTAATTTACTCATTGGATTAAGCAACACATAATAAAGTAATTACACTATGAATTAAAACAGACATACCTTGCTGGATCCCTTGGAAAGCTGAAGAATCTGATGCCTTGCTTGCTGGATGACAGACACCCTGCAGCTTCACAAGTTTTTGTTTTCATGTTTATACTGCAAGAAGCAATACAAAAATTATAACACCATCACGGTACTCTTAGAACTCCATCACATTCTACAGACAATCTTTTGGATAAACCAAAAGTTGCAAAACATATCATGAAACAAATGTCGTTTAGATGACAGTTCATGATAACCTCAAAAATTTTAGTCTTGAAAGAATTCTATATGTTTCTAATTTAATTTTTGGTAGTAAGCATAACATTCATATACACAAATAATATGTTTAATATAGAGATATAACTTCGTTCGCAGAGGTATACTTCCGTTTCGCAACGACATCAAATCAAAATTCATACTTACCAATTTGCATATAATGAACCACCATAACCATTATATTACTATGATATTGTATGTAAATATTAATATTCATGAAACATATTGTAATAATGGTTTCTAATTGTACTATCCTTCTGAAGATGGTCTATAGGACCGAAACATATAAATGATAAAAGATTAAAAAGAAAAAACCATCAGTCACTCTGAACGGGATTAATTAACCTTCTGTAATATTGTTAGTGTGACAGACCAGACTGAAACAAATCATACTTGCGTAAATTAACGCCTGACATATCTCGGAAACAAGTGGTCCTACATCTGGCTGGATAAAATATAACGGTGATACGAAACCTACAAATGCAATATTGAACCAGAATTCGCTGTTATGGAGAGGAGGCTCGGCTCATGTCATTATCCACGGCGTTTAGCGTGAAGATTCTCTCTGGCAGTATAACAAACGATTCCTTGTAGTTAGGCGGAGGTGCAGCTCTCAGCTGTAGCACTTGGCACGTGGAAACGTGAGCGTCGGCTCACATTCCTGCCGCGTGCAACAAAGGAAGTCTTGCTGGGAACAGAACACCATGCACGGCGCGTATGCTTCGTGCTAGGGGTTATCATGGATCGAAACCAGAGTCTGGAACCTGTCTAGACAATCCCATTCAAGGAAGGTTGGCACCAATAGGCCGAAGTGTATCCAGCTTATTAACCACAATACCCTTCATCGTCTCTGTTTCTCGACGTTGTGTCAAATGAAGAGGTTAATATCGTCAAACTTGGAGGATCATGAATGTTGAGATGAGTGGGACTAGGAAGGAAGTTAAGAAGCTCATTGTAATGTTCACCTGGTATCTATTGGTGAAGGAATGGTGAAGTTGTCCCTACACTTAATTAATTAATTACAACGACAAGAAGACGTATGAGGGAGTGCATATATTGACCAAAGTTTTCTTGACCTCGGCACTGCTTGGAGGTGAGCGGTCGGCTTCACGTCCTGGTCGCTATACTCCCCCCCACATTGGATAGGAGGCTGGATGGGCCCCAGAGCCTGTCTGGACGACATAAAAAAACCCGTGGTTTCACTCCGCAAGCGAACTATATCGACCAAGCGACCGCCGTTTGTCGGCGAAATTAGTGCCAAATTTAGCGGATGGAGGACGTCGCGTGGTCATCGCAACGAATCCCCAAAGGCCATTGATTTCGGTTTTCTAGACCGGAACCGCTACCTTTCCATTAAGGTAGCTCCTCAATTATCCCCAAGAGGCTGAGTGGATCCCGTTCCAGACCCACTATTACTGATAATCTGATAGCTCCTGGAATCGCACCCGGGACCTCTGGGGCTATAACCAGGTGCTCTGCCCACTATACCACAGAGGTGGTCGGTCTGTACGACATGGAAAAGTGAAAATTCTTGCCACCACCGGGACTGGAACTCCGAACCCTTGGTCGTGAAGCCCGTAGCCAGTCGCTATACCGAACTACGTTATCCCGGCTCTTATGGAGAGGCTTACGAAAACCACACAATACCGGCTTCGTCTGATATTTGAACCGCGTACCACTGGTGGCTTGCTTATACGTTATAGAGACAGCATCATTCAAGTCTTAATTAAGCTGAGCTTATGAAACATGCCACTTTCTTTTATACTTATGTGTAGTTTTCGAACAATTCGATAGATTAAAATACGTAAGTGCCTCCAGATATACGTTTCTAGGCTATAGTTGTGATGGTAAAAACGTGGACATCTACTCTATAAGAAGTATTGTATGTATGTTTCTCCGGAAGTTCGCCTGGCCAAGGGCTGACAGTAACCCGGGAACTGTTTAGCGGTTTATGTTGTGATACGGCTGTAAACAATAGCAGTGTGATGTCATAATATTTCTGTGTTTGAACGCGAATGTAATAATATGTGAGAATACCTCGGCGTTTGTTTCTCGAGTGCACTGGATTTCATGTATCATTTAAGAAGGCTGACATACATGTGTGTCAGAAGCTCACTCCTTCTAACGCAGGAAAGGTCACGGTCAGCTTGTATATGAACGCATTATCAGGGTTTGACCTTTGGTCTCCTTCGTGCCGGTGTTTAAAGTTTAATGGAGTGGCGTAATTAAACTGCATTAAATCTACTACAACAAGACTGAAGTACATGCAGCGAGTGAGGAGAATTCCAGTTTAATTTTTAATGGGAATGATATTGTTAGGCTTACTTGCATAACAAACACTTCTAGTTTTGTTACTATGGCTCTACAGCCCTTGTGGACTTACGCCAATTTTTCAATTTCTTAATCCGTACACAGTCTGTAGGACCCCTTGAACGGGGGATCAGCCCGTTGGAAGGGCTACCTGCATACAGAACAACACAAACACAGAATAAACACACAGACATCCATGCCTCGATTTGGATTCGAATTCTGGATCCCAGTTTTCGAGCATTTGAAGATGGTTCATGCCTTAGACTACCTTTGTTAGTACAAATTATTAATTGGGGCTAATAACAATAATAATAATAATAATAATAATAATAGTAATAAAACTTCAAAAATTTTCGAAATGGAAGAATAAAATATTTCAGTTATTTTCTGTTTCACAAGAATGAGTTTCTCCTTACACAGGTTCACATCGCAGGTTTCAAAATTCCGCAGAAACTATTGCCGTTTCCTAGTAGAGAAATCTGGGACGTATTACAAATATTGTTCTCGCTACTGTGCGTTTTGCTTGTTAGTCGTATGAGTTCTTTTCATGAAGCCCATAAAATGAAGGAAACTATTATTTCAAGCAATAGAATATATGTGCTGCCTACAACGGAATTTGTCGCAAAAATTTAATTTTACTCCGATTAAGTGCAACATAAACACTATTCTATGTATATGTAGCTCACATCGAAATTAATTATAAAACTGATGCAAAGACTCTGCGCAAACTTTCTCATATATATCTGACGGGACACAGCTAAAGTTTAGAATATTTTGACCTACAAAATATATTTTTTGTCTGTTAACTGTGCAAACGATTAAATTATAATTAAAAATCAGTCAAACCACATTTGAGAAAAAATGGGCACTTCGCTCTTGGAGCACTAGAGGGCATACTATTATTTTCCTGTAGATGCCATCCAGAAAGTCGTATTAGGGACATATTTTTCATAAGTTACTGAAATATAATGAAAGTCATTTGAGCTGTTTTCGAGAAAATCGCAATTTTGTGTTTGAAGGCAGTTGTGATCCGTCATTAATATTAAGAGCTAGAATCTTCATATTAACAGGTAGTGACCTAGATAATCTCTGAAGTACCGAGTACCAGCCCCAGATGATAGACGAGGGTGATTTTGGAGCAACTGGTGGAATATTACTTACTCACGAAACTGAGCCCTTCTGGAGGAGCCGCCAATTCTGCAGCTACTCAAGAATTTCCCAGCATTTTATGGAACCCGAAGGTTCATTACCGTGTTCACAAGAACCCTCCACTGGTCCCTATCCTGAGCAAGATCAATCCAATCCATACCATCCCATCCCATCCTATCTCTCTATGATCCAACTTAATATCGCCCATCCACTACGCCTTGGTCTTCCCAGAGGTTCCCTTCCTTCTGGCTTTCCCACCAATATCCTATATGCATTCCTCGTAACCCCAATTCGTGCTACATGTCCTGCCCACCTCATCCTCCTTGACTTCATTATTTTATTATACTTGGAGAAGAGTATGGGAATATGGGAAACTATAAAGAACCATGCAAAATACTCATGCATTATATAATGTTCAGGGATAATTAATTTGTGTGCAAAATATATTTTTACTCAGAAGGCTGGCAAAAGGGACATAATGTATACCCCATCCCTTCATACAATCATGACAGGCTGCTTGGAAACATTACGCCCCCCCACTCCTTCCAGCCAAATGGCCCCGCAAATTGTCCTATGTGAGACACTCTTGTCCAGTTTCGAATGTGTTCAGGTCTGGCCAGCTGAATAATCCACTGACATTATGCAACCGCATTATGCAGCGAAACTTTGTAACGAGCAGCTTCGCCTCCCAGTTTGCGTGCGCTAGCAGTGTACCTGCAACAACTTGATGCGTTTGCAGATCGATGAAGCTTGCAGGGCGCCCTGCCACATGTATTCATTGCTAACCTAGATGTGAGTTTGAATCCAGTGGTGTCCCCTTCTCTAGAAACTGAATCGTTTGAAACTTCTGTAAAACAAACGAGGAAAGGGAAATGTTTCCGCGTAATGACACATTGATCTGGCATGCACCCAGCTGCTTTATTTGCTCCAATCTTGGCTTTTACATTGGTGATGAAACGTGTGCTAAGTTAGCGACTAATAGGCAAGGAAACAGTCATTACTGCCAACACTGAATTGTAAGGAAGAATGGAAACTGCAAGTTTACTAGCCTGGATTCGACTAAGAGCCACAATGTTCATCTCGAACGGATTCAAAGTTTAGTACAGGATATTAAAAAAATTATCTTGATTCCTAATAAAATTAAAGATGAATGCGTTATTTCTTTCTATATTTACCCTTAATTTGTGGATAATTACGAGAGCTATTCGAAAGTATTTTTTTTAATTGATTGGCCTGTTGTAGCCTGCCCCGCGTGATTATGATGATGGAGTATTCGGTGGAATGAAGATTGGTAGGGGAAACCGAAGTACTAGGAGAAAACCCGCCCCAGCGCCAATTTGTCCACTATAAATCCCACTTGACCAGACCCGGGATCGAAACCTGGCCGCCGCGGTGGTAAGCTAGCGACTAACCGCTTGGGCTAATTCGGAAAGTAACCCCCGTTTATATTAAGCAACTGTGTAGGAACAGTGGAGAGCTCGCGCATGCGAGGTAGCGTCAGACGATTTTGTAAACCATCTTATAACTGGTCACCTAGTGTTTGTTCTTGACTCTGCAGACTGTCTTTGATGTGTCCTGCGACTGATAATCCCGCCAGATGCAAAATTCGCGCTCCTATCCGCTTCATTCACGCTAAAAACGTGGGTGCTGCTGAAATCCATTGTGAATTATAGGCTGTTTACGGCCAAAATGTAATGAGTGGAGGAAGAATAGTGTAGAATATTCAAAGATGGGAGAGCGAAGAAATGTTCACGATGAAGAGCAAAGTGGTTAGCCATCTGTAGTGAGCGATGATTTTGTTCAAAATGTTGATCAGAAAATTAGTGACAAATGTCGCTTCACAATTTCAGAATTTTCGTGTGAATTCCCATAAACCTCACACACTCTTCTCTATCAAGTTATCAAAGTTAGGCTAAACTATCACAAGTTTTGCGCAGATTGGGTTCCGAAAATGCTCACAGGTGCGCACAAGATGCAGAGAATGGTTTCGGCTTTGACTTCTTTAGATGGCGGTGAATTTCTCAATCAGATCGTACGAGTAACAGGTGATGAAGCCTGGGTTTCATTTGTGAACGCTGAAAGCAAAGATCAGTCGAAGCAATGGATGCACACGCATTCACCAGAGAAGCCAAAAAAGTTTAAACAGACGTCTGCTAGAAAGCTGATGGCAACTGTTTTCTGGTATAGGAGAGGAGACAAATGCCGATGATGGAATTCGTGCAACAGGGGCCTAGAATAACGTCAGAAGTGTATTGTGAAACACTAGCAAACTATATAAGGCCATTCAGAACAAAAGGCGTGGAATGCTGACATCCGGTATAGTGCTCCTCCACGATAAGGAGTATCCGCATACGAGTAGAGCTGCTGGCACTCGAACAATGCCGGAGCATTTCAACTTGGAGCTGTTTGACCACCTTCCTTATAGCCCCCATCTCGCTCAGAGCGACTATCAACTACTTTTCTTTTTCCTTGGCACTACAGCCCCAGCGGGCCTAGGCCTACCTCCATGAACATCACCTACTTACCTACCCGAAGAACTGGTTGTGATCACAGCGCTTCAACAATAATGAGGAGCTGATGGAAAGTGTCAAAACGTGGCTCAGCTCACAGGTGGCAGATTACTTTCACAGAGGCATACAAGAACTTATTCCCCGGTACAAGTTCCTCATTTCCGGAGGTGACTATATTGAGAGGTACCGTAGCTTCAGTATGTATGTATTTTTTGATGTAATAACATTTTATATCGTTTTTGTGTTGTTGACATCTGATGAGAGGTCACTTTCCGAATTTCCCTCTTAAATAATTGCTAATTTTCACTAACGTGCAACCTGCCTTGGTGTCATAAGGGCTATACATTTCACGCTTTATGTCAAACCTAGGTCTATGAGAAATGGTGTACAAGGAGTAAAGTACTTTACATTCACTCACATTTCTGCTATATTTCGGTTTCAAAGGTCGAATGCTTTCTTCGTGTTTGTCACTTGTAACTTGTAGAGCGACCGTGGAGCTGATCCATCTAAGCCACCAAACAGCTGCAATAAACCGTTATATTGGATCTAATATTTTATTCGAAAACAGCTGAAAGCCGATCTATTTTGAACTAAATTGAAGGAAATTGGCATTATGAATCCACTGTACAGATTCCAATCCAATCACCGCTTTAAAATATGGGCACAGTCCTTCAAGATTAAATTAAAGCTAAGGGAGGTGGTGTACGTGCCAAACTACACATGCCAAGAGGAGAATTCGCTAAAGCACATTTCAACAGTAAGCTAACTGACTGTATAGTTCGTACTTTTTCTTAGGTTAAATTTTATATGCTGCAAACTGTCTGTCTTGATAACACACATCAAGTGACATATTATGAGAAATCCTTGATTTTCTTTTGTCTTCTTCAATGCATGTGAATATTACGTCATGTCACAGAAGTAGTATACTTCATTGTTAGTGACGTATTGGGCCGCGCCATTGCTCAAGCGGTTAGTCGCTGGCTTCCCACCGCTGCTGCACAGGTCTGGTCAAGTGGGATTTGTGGTGGACAAAGTGACGCTGTGGCAGGTTTTCTTCGAGAACTTCGGTTTCCCCTGCCAATCTTCATTCCACCAATTGCTCCACAATCACCCTCACCTATCATCTGGGGCTGTTACAATAGGCCAGAAGTGGCCGCAGTACAAGGGACTTAGTCCCACCCCACTAGCAATAAAAAATTGTAGTGTTGTATTCATTGTATCACTAAGTATGTTTTACTACATGCACACAAACACAATTTTCCTTTCCTTTCTGCTGAGTCGTCAGTTGCTTGAAGAAGTAAAGTGTTCTCTCTTAAAATAACAATATATATCTTTCTATCCGCTGAATTTGTCGCAGAACGGTTTACGTTTGTTGACATCCCTGATTTTGGTGACGGTTTTAATTATATCTGCAGTCAGCATACCACTTGATATTTGTGCCCAGCTTTCTTGGATTGAAGTACAGTACAATTGAAATGTTTTCAGTGCCATAACAGATACCTGACTTTGGAATATCACGAGCAACTTTCTCTGATATTCACAGAATACAGCAGAAAAGCTCTTGTTTATCTAGTATTCAGTTGATGTGCATGCCGTTAGAGTCAGAACAACTTACCTTCGTCTCATATTTTGTTGAACCCTGTTATGCAAATCACTATAGATCCTATTTTTTTCGTTCTTTCTCAACGTAACGCTATTTTCAGTATTTGAGGTCGACCCCTCTTTGATATGATTTGGTTCAGAATTCCTCTGGAGACGATTCAGAGTGCTTTGCAACAGTTCCACTCCAGTTGCCCTAGAAAACGGGAGCTGGGAAAATAAATTAATCACAGCTGTTGGGAACAGACACTAAAAAAGGCTGCACGCAGTCAGATCTCACGAAACGTATGATCGATTGAGAGGGATATTTCTGCGTGTATTTCTTTGATCTTATCTTCATATTTCACTGGCTCTACAGCCCTCTAGGGCCCTGTCCTCTGATTTTCAGTTTCATGATCATTTTACAGACGGTAGGCCTCCTTGGTCGAGTGATCAGCCTGTCGCAAGGCCTCAGCCTAAACACAGGACAACACAAACACAGAATAAACACATACACATGCCAAACATCCATGCCATACGTGGGATTCGAACGCACGATCCCGGCTTCTGAGTGAGCGAAGACAGTACATGCCTTAGACTGCTCGGCTACTATGACCGGCAGTGTATAAGAATAATATATAAGAATTCAGTTCGTACCTCACAGGAAACAGATCTGAACCCACGATCTCTGCTTCCGAGCGAGCGAAGACAGTTCATGCCTTAGACCGCTCGGCTACCGTGACCGGCACCCACATATGCATTAGGCCTACATATTGCATGGAAAGAAACCAGTAGATTCCGGTATTAAATTGCTGGGTTCCTATCTAAATGAATCTGCGTGTAGAGAATTCGAATTTTGGTATCAAAGCCACGTTTATGAGACTTCGCTAATAATAGAACTTTCTGAATGTCGATGAGCTGAAAATGACGAAAGAGGTAAAACCAAACATCATTTTGCCTCATCACTCTGAATTACTACATATTTCCAAGTCACAATGTGTGAAATTTCAATTAGCAGACCAAAATCAAATTTGTTAACTCTGGACGAGTGTATGAATAATTAGAAAGTGTCAAAAGACTGTTGTCTTATAGGCATTTTAAAAATTTCACAAATAAATAAATAATTTTCATTTTATAAATTTTTGTACAATTATCGCAGGAGAGTACATGCCGGGTTGGGATCATAACACAAACGATCAGGGCCCAGCTACATTTTGTTATTTTGCATCGCTCGAGATAATTGATTTGTCTGTTCCTGTATTAGCTGTACTTATCTCCCGATTACAACAGAAAATTAGTACTTCGGCAGATTGATGGCGTCATGCATGAAGAAGCACAATTTGCACGACTGCACAGAACTGGATCAATAAACTGCATGTTATCAGTCATTCATGATAGTGGTTCCACAATATAGAAATATCGTGAATCAGAGATGAGCTGTAAACGTGCTATGCTGCTACTTGCGCCGGTCGAAAACAGGTTTATATGAAGGATTTGTAATTTCAGTCTCAATGACCGCCTCTGGCTTAAGTTTCGATGTGACTGTGAGCCAACTGTGATTACATATACCAAAGCAAGTAAATTCCGTTGTAAGAGTTCGAGTTTTCGATATTAAAAAGTTAATATAACTCACCGTATTTACTTATGGAGCCGAGCCCTTCTGGAGGAGCCACCAATTCTGCAGCTACTCAAGAATTTCCCAGCGTTTTATGGAACCCGAAGGTTCACTACCGTGTTCACAAGAGCCCTCCACTGGTCCGTATCCTGAGCCAGATATCTTTCTAAGAACCATTTTAATATTGTCCACCCAACTACATCTTAGTCTTCCCAGTTGTCTCTTTTCTTTTGGCTTTCCCACCAATATCCTATATGCATTCCTCGTCTCCCCCATTCGTGCTACATGCCCTGTACACCTCATCCTCCTTGACTTGATCGTTCTGATTATACTTGGAGAAGAGTACAGGTTATGAAGCCCCTCCTTATGCAGTTTTCCCCAGCCTCCTGTCACTTCATCTCCCTTCGGTCCAAATATTCTCCTCAACATACTTCCTGTAATTGAATATAAACTTCAATTTCCTGTAGCTGGTTTAAAATTTCCTCTGGTCCTACTATAAAATTGAAGTTTTTTTCCTTTATCTTGCTCCTCACTTTGGAGCTTGCTCCAACTTTTGAGCATATGGCTGATTTCTCATTTTTTTATCATTTTACAGACAGTAGGACTCCTTGGACGGGTGATCAGCTCGTCGCAAATAGAATCGAAGTACAGTCGCAGGAATTTTATATGGAGCCTACATCCTGTTTCAGAGCCACCACCCTCGCGACGCAACAATACGCAGTGGCCAACATCCCAAGCTCAAGTTACATCGATAACTGAGTTCCTGAGGTGATGCTATATACATATATGTAATAACTGAAAACGCGGTGCCGTCCTTCAAAGAGGAACGAATAAGTTCATTCTTCTTTAAACTGGACACAGAACTATATAAAGCAGAAAGAATGTGTCAAATCATCTTTGACAACGATCTCAGAAGATCTCAACAACAAGAATCAGACGAAAGAAATGTACATATCGAGAAACATCAGTTATCCTACAGGATGGAACTGGCTCGAAGCTAAAGGACCATGATGAAGTAATAACAAACAAAACAAACTCCATGGCCTGTAGTCCGCAAGCGAACTATACCCACCGAGCCTTGAAATAGCTCCTTAGTTATCCTCACGAGGCTGAGCAGACCCCGTTCCAAACCCACTACTTCTCAGAAATGTTGGTAGAGCCAGGAATCGAACCTGGACCTCTGAATCTATAGCCAGGAACTCTGACCACTACACCACACCAGGCGGTCTTGAAGTAATAACAATCATCTAGTATAACATGCAGTAGTTAAAACATTTTTAATCAAATATGCCTTATATGTTTCGACCCTATAGGGCCAAGGACCATCATGAGAGGCTTACATGTTAACCATCGTAACACAAAATGTTGCGTTGTAGACTAACATAGGTACCTACAGTTTACAGGTTTATCTGAAAGTAAAATCACTAATTTACAATGCATGACATTATTACAGTAATGTATAATATGAAAATATTATTGTCTGAGGCAACAAGAAATAATTTAATTGATGGTTCGAAACCAGAACTAAGAGACGCGTGGTATTAGACCGCTGGGACCCTGATATCGCGGGTTCGAATTCCGGTGGAGGTATGTGTCTGTCCTGTGTAAGGCCAAGCCTGGGGACGGACTGCTTCTGTGTACAAGGAGTTCTATAGAGTACGTTATTTAATGGATACGTCTTCGTAAAATAGTTTCAGATCAAATTAAACCAGAGTACTTCATACGAGTATGTGGTAAGTCTGATGATGTATGTAGCTTATACCAATAAAGGATAACGAGGACCCAAGTTTCCTTTGTGTACCATAGGCAGGTATACAGAGGGTCGTTATTTCCCATCTGAACTGTTGTTTATTTTAAATCAGCGACACTTCCGTAAGTTTTAAGTAGGATGAATTAAAATTAAGGATATTTTTATTTTTCGTCTGATACAAACAAAATATCTGAACCATGACTGTTAATTTAAAAAAAAGGAAACGCTAAATAGGGTACAAAAAAGAGTAAAATTTTCATATAATTTTACCCAGCTTGAATCTGAAAACAATACATTGCGCCCTTCCTTTAAATGGGGCGTGGCGTATGTATCAAGTGATTTGCATTTCAACAAAATAAACAGCCTGTTAGCACGGTGAGGCGCACCAAATATCTCCCTTACTCTCTGATTGCACACAGCTACAAATTTTATTCTCTGATATGCATCGCCATGTGTTTACTGTTTTGCATGGAGTCAGTGCATGACGATGAAGTTTGTGTTCAAATCATGAATAGGGAAATTAGCCGACAGGGGCACTGAACGCTGCTACGGGTCTTGTTGCTATAGTCTCCTATTTAATGCTAACAGAAATAAACAACAGCCATTCCGGTTCATGCTGTCATCCTGCACTCTCAAAGGTCCTTAACGATGGTCTGTATACCTGTATACCTCCAGCTGACAGCTTGTAGAGTACAAGAACAGGTAAATTTATCTCTGTGCTTAACTAATTAAACGCTACGTCATGAAGGCATATGGGAGATTGGATGTATATATCCATATTTTCCTTGATCTTGGCACTAGCTGGAGGTGAGTGGCGAGTTTCACGCCCCGGCTGCTTTATCTCTAGGGAAACAAGCCCAAGTACCCATTGTATAGGAGGTTGGGTGGACTCCAAAGCCTGTCTGTACGAAGAGGAGAAGAGAAAATTATTGACTCCACCAGGACTCGAATTCCGATCCCTCAGTCGTCCAGACCGTAGCAAGTCGCTATCGTGGCTACTACCGCTTGTACAGTAATGTTGCAGAATGACGTCTCTTCCAAAAACTATCAGCAAATGGTCAGTAACCTTTCTGACTTTCCTCATAAAATTGATGCAGTCTCTTCACCTGACATGACATCCTTTACCAAGCTATGAAGGGAAATAAATCTAACATCTCGGCCTCGGATAGTGAGTCGACCATCACAGTCGCCTGCTCATTCCTGCGCTGGCAGATGCAGTCGAGCAATACCAAGAATTAATTTGGAGAAATGTCTGAAGTTCTCACAGCGGTGGTTATGGAGAAAAACATGTTCCGGGAAATAACACTATGTAAGAAGCTAAAAGGCAAAGCTACTCTGTAACAGGCCGTGTAAGCCCATAGTGTTGGCAAACGTCGAGGCTCCCACATTTTCTAAACAACTGACTCACAGATGGCGCTAACGTTGTCAGCTTTACGTGCCGACCGCCTTTCGCCCCCCCCCCCCAGAAAGATTGATGGTACTCATTTCTGTTAGAAGCTGAGTCCACCCCAGGGCCACGGTGCGGCTGGGAGGGTTAGGTAGATTGAGATCGGCAAAAATTAGGTTAGTTGGTGTAATTCAGTTAACTGAAGGAATGTACAAGTAGCATGTTCCCGTGCTACCACAAACGGGCTTCTGTACCAGAGAGTTTTTATGTACTGTGAATTATTCATGTTTACTGGATTAATCTGCGGCGTAATTAAAGAGTAAATGAAACTAGACCACTTAGCCTGGTTATACAACACCTTGATGAGTTGAACATAGAGGGTTAATTTCCCTGAGGAAGGTTCATATTATGCAATCAAGTTAGGACTGTAATATATCTCTTGTTTTACGGCAATAATGCATAAAT